GCATTCGATTTGAAATCTGAATTTACCTCACGATCTATTGGAGTAGTCCTTGTAATTGATACGCAATTAATCTTACGTTGGCTGTTTTCCGTTGATTCGTTGTTCAGTCGAGATGACTGGACTTGGTTAGCTTCAGTAGTTTTATAGCCAATGCTATCAATGGCAGTGGCCATAGAGAGCTTTTTGTCGAATCCAGCAGATGTGACAACACATGAACTGTTGAATACCCCGTTATCATTACACTTGTTTTTCTGTTTATAATAAATTAGTTTCTTATATTTATACTTTTTATCGTTAACAGTAGTTTCAAACGCTACAGTACGATCCTGTTTTGTGATGTTTTCTATGTCACTACGGTCGGTGAATTGGGTGATCATTTGGCAGCAATTATCTTCAGTGCTTATTAAATCCTTTCTTGATTCGTCTAGGTGATTTGATTCCATTTTTTGATGGACATCAATAGCAACAGATTTTTTTTCAATACTAGAATAATGAAAAATGCAACTAAATAATATTAAAAAAAATTGAAAAAAGTTGGTAAAAAATATCAAAATAACGCCAGCGATAGTAGGATTTTCATTAAATTCTTTTAACGTGATCACACACGTATCGCAGGATTTCTCGCAACAGTTATTGTCTTCGTTTTTATCCTTATCAGCTTTATTCAAATCTCTGGTTACATTATATCTTTCGTTTCCACAATCAAACGATACTTCTGGACAATTTATAAATTCATCAGTTAATTTTGGTACTAAACAATTCTTTTCAGTAAAAATTTCTTTGATTTTATTCTTAATTGACTCATTTTCTTTGGTCAACTTAGTATTTTGAAGGCTATCAATATTTAGTTGGTCAATCGCATTATCTGCGTTATCTGAAAAGAACATTTGTTTGATATTGTTTTACTTTACATTGCACACTGATTTACAGATTTCAATAAATAATTTACTGAATCTATATTTGGTATACACATACCTTCTAATTCTTTAATTCTACTTAGGAACTTTGAACACTCATCTCTTAAATTAGACAACTCTTGGTCCTTGAACATATTCTGAACTTGAAAATTAACTGCAAAAGAATATTATGCTGCTATAGTACAATGAAGTGGATATTATTTATGTAGTTTTAAGAGCTTTAAACAATCAAATACTTTTCATTTCAATTATTTCTGATGATAATGTATCAATAGTCGCCTGCTGAATCTCGATTTTCATTGTAAGCTGATCCATAATTTCATTATGATTCGAAGTCATTGAATCCATTTTAATTATTTGCCATTCGTCTACGATGTTCTCAACTCTATCGTCTTCTCCTTTGCACGTAGCAGATCGAATGTAATTATTATTCATCCTGAATTATATTAACTTGTACCTAAATTATAAAGTATATTTATAAAATATACAAGTATGTTCGTTCTACGCTTATTATAATAATAAAAAATTGAACTGATTGAATATTATATCAAAACGTCGAAACTGTAAAGACACCGTGGTATTAAATTCAAAACATAATATTGTATAGAAATAACAAAGCTGTATTGTTTACTAAACCAATTTTATAAATCAGACTTATTTATAATCATATTTATTTTATTTCATTTGAACCAGCTAATAATTAATTTTAATTTAGTTTTTTTCAAGCGCAGTTGCCTTTTACTAAGAACAATGCTTTTCAACTGGGCCCGGGCCTGGACCCTAAGCCAGCCGGGGTGACGTGTCACCCAAGAGTGACATGGATCCATTGTAAAGATGACGAAATCTCTACGGGAAAGGAAAAAAAAAATGAATTTAATAAATTCATATTACCTGTTTAACCATAACTGTCATGTAAATAACATACCTATTATTGTATTAATTCAATAATTCTTTTCGCACTGATACGTCAAGTGAACTTGTAATTTTATATTAGATACGAGCGGTTTGAGAAAAAAAAACGTACCAAATTCACTAGAGAAATCAGAAGTACAAACGCAATTGCTGACCAGTGTGGATCAAATGCCACTCGTCGCACGATGTATATGCGACATTTGACGAGCGCTAGAACGTGTTTCGCGCACGATTTTCCCTTTCCCTTCACGCGTGTTACGACCTATGTAGCAGATTTGTCAACCCCGATCATACGATTTATCGCCGGCTTGAGTTCCTGTTGCGGTGCGCGTTGGGTTAGGTTAGGTTTGTTTATGATATCAACTTGAGTGCGTACCGGACCGTCGTTTTATGCGATGACGTTACGGTCATCGAGAGGATGTTTCCCGACTGGGAAAATTAATATTTTGAATTTTTCATTTCGATAAAAGTATATAATATGTATACTTTTGGTGCAATTTTTTTAAGACAATGTCAATGTATCGATATCAAAAATTAAACTATTGGTTTCATAATTAAAGTTAATGTTTATAAAAGAAGGTAAGCGTATATGAAATTCATTTCTGATAATAAACTAGTATAAATTAGATACGTAACAGATTCAACATTTTATTATACACTATCTTATACTAAGCCATTTATGATATAAAGAGGTCATGAAATATAAGGTTAGAAAATATATGGTCAAAAAATATATTAAAGCCCGTGTATATCGTGTATGTTTAATATCCGTGTATACCCATTTATTTATTTATTATTTAATCCGTGTACATTGCATAATAATTCAGAATTAATTTATACTTAAAATATTTATATTTATAATTATATAACTTGTTAATAATTAATAATAAAAATTGTATAGCTCTAAATACTACCTACATACCTACGTTTTATTATTTAATAATTTTATGAATAGTTATTAGTTTTTGCTTATAAATTAATAAGATGCATTCGTTTATTGTATAATTTTATATAGGTATATAGGTATAAACTATAAATATAACTATATATAAAAGAGTAATATTTAAACTGGTTTTAAAACTAAAGCATAAACAATCACAAAGCTATTTTATCGTCAATGTTAATGTTTTATGTTTGCGTATGTATGCTTTGTGTCTAAATATTTTTGAAGATTTTAAAATTGTTCCATAACTTATTATTGTTTTCGAATATATAAGTGTTCAGACTCACAGGTATTAAAATATATGGGTATTTACATTACATGGGCCTTAACCCTGTCTTGGATAAAAACACGGATACCCGAGTAGTTCAATACACGTGTGATTGTGACCTCTAATTTACATGGTTGAGCTACATTTTTCCGTATTATACTGCATTATTGCATTTATGTCTTTTGCTATTGATTTACTATTAGTCGTCGCAATCCACGCTTTTTTCAATCAAATATCATTATGTCACGTAAAGGCTTAATACAAATATCTTGGCAGCGAATTCGACCGTCGACTTTGACCGTTGTTAATCACTTAATATTGAGCATGGATCAGCAGCACGATAGTGATACTGTTTTTAGATCGGTAATAGTTATTTGTAATTTTTTTCAATTCACTATTTTTGGGAACTTATTTTCATGTGTTTCAACTTGTTTTCAAGTGGGATAAACGATCAATGAATTCCTTAATCTTCCGTACGAAAATTCAAGGTTTTCGTTGATAGTATGGTAATAATAATAATAATAATAATAATAATATTAATGACGTGCCGATTTCAGTAACGTTTTACAACAGGAAAATTATACGATTCGTATATTGTATTGGATAACATAGTAATATACTATTAAAAGGGGTTAAGGCCTGCAGTCACGGATGAATACTGTACAATTAATTGTGCAGGTGTATATTTATTGTACTTATAACCTCATGTAGCGCAGCATGTAATAATAACAGCATTATATTAAAATATATATATATATATATATACTTACCGTCTTGCGTTGATTTGTCTGCTGCGCAAAAACGTAAGATTTACTACACCATGTGATTGAATTTGAAATAAAATATGACGTGGTATAATCGAATATCCTGGTCGCTATAATCCACTACACGTATCCGATTCGTCGACAGTAAGACGTATGATTATCACGAGTTGTACAAGAGCTAACACGTGGAGGTAGCCCGAATAGGGATTTAGAAATTTTAAATGTTCCGATATTGTTATTACATACGGTGTTATAAGTCATAAATGCTACGAAAAATATCGGTGATATAATACTATCGTTTTTGCCGTATATTTAATAAGATATTGTATTAGATGTAGATTTTCCGTCATTTATACTACACATTTATTGACTGGTATATTTTTCAATTGAATAAATGATCACGTGTTGGGTGATTACAAATAATTACAAAAAACGCCGAGATTCCGGAACTTATGCGCATAAGTCATACACAATTCGAAAAAAGAAAAGTGTAAGAAAATATTAAGAATATAATTGTTATTAAAAATTTACCATAATGGCTCAATGAAAAACATGAAACTATGAAAACATGTTTGTTTACATATACTAATGATATAGTCGAGTTATAGATATTTTGAATTCATTATACCGGTGACTTTCTTTGAAAACGGTCGATTCTTATACAAGCAGTATTCTTCATTGCATTGTTTAAACGTTGAAGCTTATATTTACGTTTATTTATATCGAGACAACGCTTCATTTGTGTACGTAAGCACATAGAAAGAAACGTCGGAAAATATCGAAAAGGATTCAAAAAGCTTCAAATTATCCAAGACGATCATGGACAGTGTCAGACCGGAGCGTGAACGAAACACCTTAAGAGGCACAGGCCCGTCTTTCCGCTTTTCTAATCGACGATTCGACGGATACCAGCATTTAGGAGCGTCGGAAAACCAATATCCGAGCGGACGGTAAATATAAACTATTGTATAACTAATATACAACTACGTATATTCGATTGAACTTGAAATGATGGATGTGCCATAATAATGTTGACGATCACTGTAATTTAGAAACAATGAGATAAGGTCGAGACGACCGATTACCAGAAAGTCTCAGTCCGGTAGTGGTGATTCTACCGGACCCGTATGTCGTCCGCAGTCTTGGCAGTGTGCGATGCCAAACAAAGTGCTAATTGTATATGGGTTGGAAAGAATAACTGTTAATTGTGATAATATCTTTAACCTGTTTTGCATGTACGGCAACGTGACGGCTGTGAAAGTTTTGAAAGGAAAGCAAGTACTCGTCGAGCTACAAGACGTCGAGACTGCTAAGCGATGTGTGGCCAACTTGAACTTGGTTCGTTTGGACGAAACAACTAAGCTAAAAGTCAAGTGAGTGACGCAACTGCCTACTGAAATATCTTGACTTCGGGTTAATGGTAAATGGTAGGGTGGGTTGCTTTTGATTCAAAAAAAAATTTTAGATGATTACTATCAGTCGAGAGGGTGCATTTTACGTCAGTAAATGGCGAGAACAATAAGCCCAAACAAAGAACGGTGTAAAATATGCTTTTAAACAATTTAATTTAAACTCTGCACTGTACAATTTATGGGTGTATATCGACTTCGCCGAAAAGGTCTTTTTTACCTGTAACCTATCGATTGCGCCAAATATTTTTATATATCGATTCCGCCGTAAATATATACATGTTACATCACTATATACATATTACATTATACCTAATATACTATATAATATAAATATATACCATATCTAGCACGACAGTGACACGAACCCAAGTAAGAAAAAAAAACCATATACATTTTATAGAATAAATAATAATAATAAATATAATAATCAGCAATAATTGTAGTCGGATTGAAATATAAATTTTGAGCTGAACATGATTTTATAATACATCTAAATGCAGTAGCGTATGTATTTGTGCTTTTATGTGGCAATAAGAAATAGGATAATGGAACATAATGTCTATTTTTAAAAATATGAACCGTAAACAGTTGATAGAAATATTTCGGACAACTATAAAACAAATCATCTACAAATATTTTGTCACTAGAGCATAGCAATTTTAAATTAGAATTTGTAGAATAGAATAAAATAATATTTACTGTGTTAGTATTTAGTAGAAAATCTGCTGGAAACAATATTATGTATTTACAAAATCCGAAAATGTTTTAATATTATAATATACATGTTATATTCTTATATACGTATATAAATCTTCGGCGGAATCGATATCAAAACGGCAGAATCAATAAGCTCCCCAATTTATAACACTATAAAATATAGCACCACGTCCACCGCTGATATTTTAGATATTCAAAACACTCGTTCATCAACAATCATAGAACGTCGAGAATGTCGGACGGCACGTCGGCTATGAAAAATTATCTCAACTGCAAGCTTAACCGATTTATCGGAAACGTGAAGAAATACGAGGATCAGCGACGAACCACAGCTCCGTCAAAAGTAAGTAAAAATGCGTGTGTATTGAAACGTTCACGATGACATATGGGTAACGGGCATACACGATTTATAAGTTGAATGATTGACGGTTAATTTTATTCCAAATAGATTTTGCATTTCTATAATGCACCGACGGATATTTGCGCCAAAAAGATTCACAAGGCGGTGACGGAGGCTCTTGGTTGCATAGACGCAATAAGATCAATAACCATTTGTGAGTCGTTCGTCGCCAATTGATTCGTTTATGTGCGAGAACTTTATTGAGCTTATTTTTTCTGAACTTTTTTTTTTTTAGTGCCTAAAAAACTTCCAGGCGCTAAGTGTTCAACTGGTCTGGTTGAAATGAAAAGCGTCGAATTGGCGGTAAAAACAATTTTCATTTTGAATCATATGTCATTCGAATCGTCAAGTAAGTTTTAGTTATATAATCACTTAAGCTATAATATTATTTTTATTGATAGGATTTCGAGCGTTGTAACAATTATTTCTACCTACCCCTGTACTCTACCGGAATCGGTTTTCGTAGCGTTCGTAATTTCTCGTCTTCTCCTTGTAGAATCCAGATTTCCATTTATAACAAAGTTGTGCTTCTCAAAATGGTCCGATATCCGGCGGCAGTCCACGGGCTCGTCCGATCTGCTGTTGAGCATTACGCCTTGCATATCGTCGTCGTTGCACAATTCCGAGTACGCCGTGCCCACGGCTGAGTACCCGATCGCACGCACGACCCTGCAGACGACCGGGCCCGATGGAGCTTCGTGGACGTTGTGGGAAACTAAGGATATTGTGACGGTGGCCATTGACCACGTTACAGTAAATCTTGAGCGACCCACGGACGCATCGCTGAACGAGTTGCGTGTAACCGATAATCCGCCAGCCACATTGTTCACTGCTCCACGGCAAATGAATGACAAGACGTCGTAGCCGTGTAAACGTTGCTCTCGGTTCGGAAGATTTCCATTCATCTCGTTCGAGGGTTATTAAATATGTACGAAATAAATATTGAATATACAATATTTTATAGTTTATTGCACATACCTTTTTATTTCGACTCGCTGATCCGATATTGATATGCACTGACAAACGATGTACAAGTCGTATTTGTACTTGTCCACTTGTAGTAACGGTTACGTACGCATTTCGTTGAACTGGACCGTCCACTCGATTGTTATATGTAATCTGGTCGTGATTATCCCAGCATAGGTTTGACGAGTCTGTAGGGTACGTACCGAAACTCACACTATGATTACAATAGAAACCGTTTTAAGCGATACTAATTACCTATAATGAAATGTCGATTTAATAGACCGTTTTATAGATTAAAAGTTAGCAAGCATTATTAAGCTAGCATTACGTTTTAGCTTTAAATGCATTATAGGACTCTGAATAATTTAAGTTAAAAACCAAACTTAATAATTTCTTAAATAATGTTAATAGAATTATTTTATTATATTTTTTTGTTGTTATAAAAAGGTTTTGTGTGATATCAAAAGTTTTATGAATTTAAATTTTTTATTATGTTTTATTAGGTTATTATAATTCAATCTTTCATTCTTCATTTTTAAAATATATTTAACGTAACGCAAAAACAAATTTGGCACGAAATATAAAAGCTAATTTTAATTTTTTTTTTTTTTGTATAAACATTTTTCGATCGTAACGGTATAAGATTAAGAGCATTGTAATTACAATCAGTGCTCGACTTGAGGGGGGGACGCAAGGGAACGGAGTACTCCAACTAATTTTCAGAAATTTTAACGTCCCTCTACTATTATTATGTTATAATTACTTATAACGCATAACAAGTTTTGGGGACGCTCTTTTTTTTAAAGTAAGAGTCCCCCTTCTTTAATATTTCCAAGTCAAGCATTGACTGCATACGTTTTTCCTATCTGCGGCCGCCGCGGCCGTTCAGATAAGCCTAATTACCTGCAAACGCTATCGCCAGCCTATGAGTATAATACTCTCACTCGTCCTTAATTTAATTTCTAATATTAATATCAATAATTGACCATGAATTCTAATAATAATCAAAATAACAAAAACAACACAATCTCTCCGATTACAATTGCGAAAAATAAAAACGATGTCACACCTGATCAAGGTTGGTCCGTCAAAAACTCCACAAACAACAAAAGAAACCATTCCAGCTCTTCTGCCTCCGATCCGCCATCCCCATCAACGAACAAGCAGACAGATCAAAAACGTAAAAAAAAAATTTTTGTAACTCCAAATCGTTATCTAGTTCTGAGTCAAAATGAAAATCACGACGTAACTCCGCCCTCAAACCCAACCACTCCAATTACCGAACAAATTGTCATTGATGAAATCGCACCAAACAAACCACCGCCTACAGTTTTTGTGAAAGGCGTCGCGGATTTTCCTGAACTCTGCAAAAAGCTTATCGAAATTATCGGAGTAGATAACTTTGTCTGTAAAGCATCTGCCGACAAATTAAAAATCCAAACTCCAAACCCTGATTCATATAGAACTCTAGTTCGTTATCTTAAAGAGGAGAAAGCACAATTTCATACTTATCAACTCAAAGAGGATAAACCTTTGAGGATAGTCGTACGGAACTTACATCCTTCCACACCAACTGAAACTATAAAAGAAGAGTTAGAACTCCTTACTTTCGAAGTCAGACAAGTAATTACCGTCCTCCATAAGGTTAACAAAAACCCTCTCCCGCTATTTTTTGTTGACTTAGAACCCACGTCCAATTCTTCCGAAATTTTTCATCTGTCTTCTCTTCTACACACTAAAATCAAAATTGAAGAACCTTTCAAACCAAAATCAATAAGTCAATGTCATAATTGTCAACAATACGGCCATACAAAAGCATATTGTGGCTATCAACCACGCTGTGTCCGCTGCGGCTTGGATCACCTCTCATCCCTGTGCCCCAACTCACGTGAATCGCCTACAAAATGTGCTCTCTGCTCTCAAAACCACACTGCTAACTACAAAGGGTGTACTATCTACAAAGACCTTCAACGTCGGAAAAAAGCATCTTCAAGTAATTTTATGTATGAAAACTCTAAAACTAAATTTACCAATGTACAAGCTAGCCACCCAATTAACCACTCAATTCCTAGTCAACCCATCTCTCAAACACAGACTTACGCACACGTTACGTCCAACGCTCCGCCCGATAACACAATTCCTCCCCCTCCTGATATTAATAAGATAATGTCAAGATTCATAGACGACTTTAAGTCTCATCAATCCTTTAATTTCCCTTCTCACTAAAGTAATTTCCTGCCTACTTTATAAAAATGCTAAATAACAATTATAACAACAACTCTGTCACTGACAACTCCCTACTTATATTACTATTCAACGCAAATGGCCTAAGAAATCATGCTCATGAACTCGAAACAGTATTAAACAACAAACGAATTGACATTGCCCTCATCTCTGAGACACACTTCACTAATAATTCTAAAATATATATCCCAGGTTATAAATTGATTAATACAAATCATCCTGATAATACGGCACACGGAGGCGTGGCTATATATGTTAAGTCATCTATTACTTACCATCCTTTGCCTGGTTTTTCCCAAGACTTCTGTCAATCTTGCTCAATTCAAATTAAATTAAACTTTACTTACTTTACTATTGCGGCAATTTACTCCCCTCCCAAACATAATATAACAACCGCTAGGTTTACAGAATTTTTCAACACAATTAAAAATAATTTCATAGTCGGAGGTGATTTTAATGCTAAACACCAATCGTGGGGCTGTCGCACAGGCAATCCTCGAGGCACTACGCTTCACAATTTTATAAACTTAAAAAAATACAAAGTACTTGCACCTCCTGCTCCTACGTACTGGCCATCTTCTCTCAAAAAAAAAAACCGGACATACTTGATATTTTCGTCACTAAATTACCCAATTCACTTTATAACAACACAACAACTATTCTTGATTTAAATTCTGATCACTCCTCTGTACTATTAACTTTAAATACCTCTCCCCCAATTCTACAAACATCGCCTAACCTATTCAATCGTTTCACTGATCGTCTCAAATTTCATGATAATGTAAATGAAAATATTAAATTAAATATCAAACTCAAAACACCTGACGATATTGACTTAGCAGTTAAGGATCTCACTAACATTATACAGAATGCGGCGTGGTCTGCTACAAACGCAAATCCCGCCACTCCTCATATTTCCAACCCACTTCCAGAAGTGATAAGAACGTTGATAACTGAAAAGCGTAAGGCTAGA